TTGGCTCACTGCAACCTCCACCTCCCAGCTTCAAGCTATTCTTCTGCTCCCGCCTCCCAAGTAGCTGGGACTACAGGCATGTGCCACCACGGCTAATTTTTGTATTTTTAGTAGAGATGGGATTCTGCCGTGTTGGCCAAGCTGGTCTTAAACTTCTGGCCTCAAGTGATCTGCCTGCCTCAGCCTCCCAGTGTTGGAATTACAGGCATGAGGTGCTGTGCCTAGCCTAACTCGAGGGGTCCATCCTGCCATGCCACTAACATGTTTTCTGAGGCCGGTTTGGAGAGAATACTGTGCTTCACAAGTGGAGTAGACACAGGTGTTTGGGAAATTACTGAACTTCCCCTTGTTTTAAACTCCTTCCCTGTAGTCAACACACTCTCATCTTCACCACGTACTGACGTGTTTGCTCCCAAGTGCAGGCAGAGTCCTGGCTTGAACATGAGCAGTTCCTGTGTTAGCAGCTCTGGAGCGCACCCTGATTACATGCACTTTCTGGAAACTTGGATCATGGATAATTATGCATGCATAAAGAGACACTGTAGCCTCTCTCTGCAATCTGGCTACTCATATGTGGGCTTCGGAGGTGGACAGTAGGGGGTTCTCTTTGGCTGCTGACCACCTTTGTGACCATGGGCAGATGACCTCATCATCCTAAGCTTTGGTGTTTCCACCTGTAACTCCCACCTCACGGGACTGCTGTAAGGGTTGAGTGAGACGACCCTGCCCAGTGCTGAAAAGACAGTAGCTATTGTCATTGGGAACCAAGCCGAGGCAGTAGCGCTTTTACCGTTACACAATTAAAGTTATCTTTTTTTTTTCATAAAGTTGCTGTGATTTTGAAAAATGAAAACTCCTGCTGTAAGGATGTCTTGGTCTTTATTTCACAATGCAGGAGAATGCAGGGGTTAAATGAGGTCCAGCTCAACAGGGACAGAGCGGGCTTGATGGATGCCCGCCTCCCTGGGCTGGCTGCACAGTGTAGGGTCAGCACTTTTCCTGGGGTAGAAGAGAGAGGATGGCGGCTAATAAATAAAACAGGAACTCCTCAGAGGTCGCTAGAAAGATCTCCTGTATCTGGCTGGCTTCCTTTGCTATCTCAAGACTCCAGGAAAGGGAGGCAGGTCTTGGCCCACTGTGCCTTTCACTGCTGGACATAGCAGTCCAACCTCCCTCACAGCTAGTAAGGAGGACCCAATGGGCACCGGCATGGCAGCCACGTGCCTGGAAGCCGAACGGCACAGCCTGACTTCTGACTCTAGGACGCCTCCCACTAGGTATCAACTGCCATGAGTGCTCAGACATGCACCACTCCAAGGGGGCCCGTCCCCTTGAGTATGGCAGTCCTGAGGCGGGGAGTGACCTTAAAGTCCTCTGCCATAGCCACTATAGTTTACAGACAAGGAAACCAAGGCTAAAAGGTGTCGTGATTTGTCCCAGACCCGACAGCTGTTTTGAGAGAGAGAGAGAGTGAGAGTGTGTGTGTGTGTGTGTGTGTTTGTGTGGTGGCAGTGGGGCATGGTAGATTCTTTCTACCAAACTACTCTACCACCAGTGAAAGCTGAATTATAACTAGAATATGAAACCGTCAGGAGCTGAACACACAGCTTGACGAATATGCCAGTGGGAAAAGTAGCAAGGAAAACACACAGCAGGAGCAAGGAGGGAGGAGCCACAGACCTTCCAGTTCCCACTAGAGAGGAACAGAATCTATGAGCTGAGCCCTCTCAGGACAGCTGGGCCAGTGCCATCCACACCTGACTGTATACCCTGGGCTCCTGTGAGCTTTTTTTTTTTTTTTTCCCCTGAAACTAAATCTTACTCTGTCACCCAGGTTGGAGTGCAGTGGGTGATCAGACTCACTGCAACCTCCATCTCCTGGGCTCAAATAATCCTCCCACCTCAGCTTCCCCAGTAGCTGGGACTACAGGTATGCACCACCACATTCGGCTAATTTTTTTGATGTTTAGGAGAGATGAGGTCTCTCAATGTTGGCAAGGCTGATCTCGAACTCCTGGGCTCAAGTGTTCCAGCTTCCCAAAGTGCTGCAACCACAGGTGTGAGCTACCACGCCTGGCCCTCCTGTGGCTTGAGAGAAACACACAGCTAGGCACCAGCTCAAGACTCTGATTCAGCATGGCTGGTTTGGAGCTCAGTTATGGAGACCCACCTACCACCCCACAGTCACCCCAGCTGGGCAATTCAGCCTCTGTGTACTTCCTGAGCTGAGGTGCTCACCATGCCACAAAGAAGCCTATTCCATTGTTGGATGGATCTAATGGTTAGAAAGTTAATGGTGGCCAGGTGTGGTGGCTCATGCCTGTAATCCCAGTACTTTGGGAGGTCAAGGTGGGCGGATCTCTTGAGGTCAGAATTTTGAGACCAGCCTGGCCAACATGGTGAAACCCCATCTCTACTAAAAATACAAAAATTAGCCAGGCGTGGTGGCATGCACCTGTAGTCCCAGCTACTTGGGGGGGCTGAGGCTGCAGTGAGCTGAGATCACGCCACTGCACTCCAGACTGGGCAACAGAATAAGACTCTGTCACAAAAAAAAAAAAGTAAGTTAATAGTAATTATAGTTACCCTTTACTGAGCTACATGGCAGGCCTAGAACAGACATACCTGTGCTGATGGCACAGGCTCTGTCCTCAGGCAGACCTGGGAGCTCCATCATTAATTAATGAACTAAGTGACCTTGGGCAAATGCCTTAAGCTTTCTAGTCTCTTCTGGGAGGTAAGGAGTGTTCTCAGCCACACATCGAAGGGAGATTAGGGCAACTGAAGATACACGCAAATATAATCAAGAAGATTATCCATCAAAAATTAAATCACCTAACACATACATGTTATATAGTATTACACATAATAAATCACCTGACAGCCCAAGCTACATCCTAGCACCAAGCCCCACAGGCTCTTGCTTAAGACACAGACACACAGATAGACATACACACAGACACACAGATAGACATACACACACACACACACACACACACACACACACACACACACACACACCCCAGCCCTATACTTACTGCAGAGTAGCGAGTTAGGTCTTTTTTTTTTTTTAACATTTTTAGAGATGGGGTCTCGCTGTGTTGACCAGTTTGGATTCAAACTCCTGGCCCCAAGTGATTTTCTCATCTTGGTCTCCTAAAGTGCTAGGATTACAGGTGTGAGCCACCATGCTTGGCTGGAGAGTAGGTACTTATTACTGTCATCATACAGTTTGAACAACATGGGTTCGAATTTTCTTCCACCTCTGCCACTGAGACAGCAAGACCAACCCCTCCCTTTCCTCCTCCTCACTCTGCTTAACATGAAGACAAAGACTTTTATGATGATCCACTTCAACTTAATGAATAGTAAATATATTTTCTATGATTTTATTTACTTTCTTTTTTTTTCTTATTTTTTTTAACTACTCTGCACTTAATTGGTAAGATATTTTATTTATTTATTATTTAAAGACAGGGTCTCACTACATTGCCCAGGCTGGTTTCAAACTCCTCGGCTCAAGTGATCTGCCTCGGCCTCCCAAAGTGCTGGGATTACAGGCATGAGCCACTGCACCAGGCCATGATTTGCTTAATAACCTTTATTTTTTTCTCTAGCTTACTTGATTATAAGAATACAGTATATAATTCACATAACATATAAAATATATGTAAATCAACTGTTCATGTTATTAGTAAGGCTTCTGGTCAAAACTAGCCTATAAGTAGTTAAGTTTTTGGGGAGCTGAAAGTTTAACATGGATTTTTCCACTGCACAGGGGTCAGCATTCCTAACCCTGCATTGTTCAAAAGCCAACTGCAGTCGCTTTGTCATTATTATTAACATTATTATTTTGATCTGAAATCCATCCGCTCCACTCTCTTGAATAACAGAACAAGTTGCAGCCTCGTCAATGGTGTAATCTGACACTTTTCTACTCTCCAGGCTGAAGATCCCCTCCCACAGTTTCTCCAGATTCCGTTTTTTTTTTTTTTTGTTTTTGAGACAGAGTCTTGTTCTTGTCGCCCAGACTGAAGTGTAACAGCATGATCTCGGCTCACTGCAATCTCCATCTTCCAGGTTCGAGCAATTCTCTTGCCTCAGCCTCCTGAGTAGCTGGGATTACAGGCATCTGTCACCACACCTGGCTATTTTTGTATTTAAAAAAATTTTTTTTTGTAGATATGGGGTTTCACCATGTTGGCCAGGCTGGTCTCAAACCCCTGACCTCAGGTGATCTGCCTCCTCCGGCCTCCCAAAGAGCTGGGATTACAGGCATCAGCTACTGAGCCAGGTCTTTCTCCAGATTCTTTGCCATCTCACTCATCCTCATCTCAACTAACCTAACAGTCCAGATGTGGCGCATCCAGCACCAGGCCCCACCGGGCTCCCGCATACTCCCTCTGAGCACTGGCCTCCTTGCTCTGCAGCAAACACTACAGCAAGTCTGCCCACAACTGTTGGGGCTGGAGCTAGAAAAGACCCCATAATTTTCATAATTTTCACGCTGGTTGTGTCTCCTAATTCTGGCAAGCCCTATAGTTCATTTAGTCCACACCCCAGCAACAGGCTGTAGGCTACTGTCTTTCTGTCTTTCAGGTCTGTGTCTTCAGTGGGGTGAACTTGGGGTCAGAAGACCTGGGTCCATTTCAATCAGGACCTGCTGTGTGACCCAGGGCACAGGGCTTCCTCTCTCCGAGCACATCTGCCAAATACAAATGGCACTCATCAGTCTCCCTTACAGAGATGCCAAAATGCTCCAGGGAGTTTCTGTGCAAAGCATGAAGTGCACACACAGATGCTCAACCCCCGAAAAGATGGGAACCCCATATTTTCAAGGTTCACCCGCTCCTTCATGTGGCACAGCTCAGGACCACAGCACTGGGCTTGTGGATCAACAGAGAAGCATGTTGATTCTCCTCCCAAGCCAGGCTTGGGCCGTGCAGGCAGCTGTGCCTGACTCATTCCTTCCCCTTCCTCCTCTTCGGCCCATGACTCACCAGCACTGTCAGGCCGGCATCCTCCCTGGTTTGCTTCCCAAGCCATGCCTGGTCAGGATGCAGGACTGAAGCCCTCTTCCCACCAGGCACCCATCTCTCCCCATGTCTCTTCTGACCCTCGGGGTCCACATCACACTCCAGCGTGACTGTTCCTTGGGTGTTGTGCTGTCCTTGCAACTTCACTGTCACCTCCAGGAGAGCAGGCTCTTGAGAGGCAATCCAGCGGGGTTTACCAAAAACCTGGTTGCCTGGGGCCTGCCCCATGGGATTCTGACTTCCTTGCTCTGGAGTCTGGGAACAGCAGAGAGGTTTAAAAGCTCTCTAGGTGATTCCAACATAAGGCCAGGGCCGAAAAGTGCTGATCTAGAACCAGGTTGCCCAGCAGGCTGGCTGCTTTGGCTGGGTTTAATGAGGCCTCTGGAGGGTCTGGCAGGGAGCTGGAGGAGAACCCTATGCCTGCCTGAGGCTGACCGTATGGACAGCCCTTATAGCCAGGCTGGTCAAAAGGCAAGAAGGAGATGGCTCAGAGGACACTCTGTTTGGGGAAACCCTGCTGTCCTGCCCACAGGATAATCCCTTTGTAGAAAGGAGTCAGACAGCCCAGGACTGCTACCTTTCTCTCCTTCCCTTACCTCCTGACTAAACTCAGCCTGGGGCCTGGTCTTTCCTGCCCAGTATGGCCAGTGACCAGATACCCTCTTTGGTGGGGACATGAAGACCTCTTTCTCCAGGGTCGAGCCATAGCCCTCCGGATAGAAAATGAGCAGCTCCAAGGCAAGGGGATAAGTGGGAGAGCAGAGGGAGGTGGTCCTGTTTCCTAAGAGACCCCCCACTCCCTCCCCAGCTGCTCTGGGCACGAAGAAGGGAAAAACCTGACTCAGTGCTAGTGTGACTCTGTGACTCACGGGCCAACAAAACTGACTTGCCAGACTGGTCAGGAGGGGAACCTGCTGCTCCCACCATAACCTGGGGCTGTGGGCAGGTTAAGCCCATCCCTCCATCCCTTGGGCTGCTAGAGGACACATCCTGCCCACCACCAGCTGCCAGCCCTGGATGGTGGGCTTGGTTGGGGCACCTCCCTCAGCCTGGCCCCCAACTGGAACAGCCACAGCTGCTTCAGGAACTTATTAGTGAGCGGCAGGCCTGGGAGGGAAGACAACTCAGAGGCTCTGGAACATAGAGAGGTGGCTTTAAGAATGAAAAGGAGGCTGGGATTCAGCTGCACCAGGTCATACTTGTGAGGGGGTGGAGTTGGGAGGTAGACCCAGGTCCTCTCTGATTCTTTTTCTTGAGATGGAGTCTCACTCTGTCACCCAGGCTGGAGTGCAGTGACATGATCTCGGCTCACCACAACTTCTGCCTCCAGGGTTCAAGTGATTCTCCTGCCTCAGCCTCCCAAGTAGCTAGGATTACAGGCGCCCACCACCATACCTGGCTAATTTTTGTATTTTTAATATAGACGGGGATTCACCATGTTGGTCAGACTGGTCTCAAACTCCTGATCTCAGGTGATCCACCCGCCTTGGACTCCCAAAGTGCTGGGATTACAGGCGTGAGCCACCTCACCTGGCTTTTATTTTTTTTATTTTTTGGGAGACAGGGTCTTGCTCTGTCATCTTTGCTGGAGTGCAATGGTGCGATCATGGCTTACTGCAGCCTTGAGCTCCTGTGCTCAAGCAATCCTCCCGTCTCAGCCACCCAAAGTAGGTAAGACTATAGGTATGTATCACCACGCCTGGCTAATTTTTAAATTTTTCGTAGAGATGGGGTCTACCTGTGTTGCCCAGGCTGGTCTTAAATTCTTGGGCTCAAGCAATCCTCCTGCCTCAGCCTCCCAAAGTGCTGGGATTACAGGCATGAGCCATTGTGCCTGGCAAGAAATTATTTTACAAACTTGATTTCACTTAATCCTTGTGGCAACCCTGTATGGCAAATATGACTGCTCCCCGTTTACAGATGAGGACACTGAGGCAATGACAGGAATCTAGTGAGCGGTTTCAGGTTCTCTCACTCCCAGCCCAATGCCCATTCCAGACTCCATCCTGCTACCAGCTCTCCAGGGCAGAGACCAACCCCTGGTGGACACACACAGCTGACACGCAGAGAAGCAGCACTGCCTCCAGCCCAGGACACAAGGTCTAGCTGACACCACTGAGCAGTCCTACTCTACCGCCCACACAGCCACATGGTCCCTCCAGAAATTGACTCGGCAATGCCCATGTCTGCCTCCATGCCAGGCTGTGAGTTCCTCAAGGCAGCACGTGGTCTCCTTCGTGATGATCAGCTCCTAGCCTAGAACTAGATAAGTAGTACCGGTAGGTTGCCAGAAGCCTCAGATGCCAGACCTGAGGTAGAACCCTGGCTCTGCCACTTATGTGCATGACAGGCATATTATTCAACCTCTGAGAACCTCAGTTTCTGTATCTAGAAAATGGGAATAATAACTATACCTTATAGGAGTACCATGAGCACTAATAAGAATGACATTAACAAGAACTGTTAACATGTGTCAAGTGCTTATCATATGGCAGGCACTCTTCTAAACACTTCATATGTATTAAATCATCTAATCCAAAGGCCATGAAGCTGGCTGGTGGGCTGACTCTGGAGCTCCCATCCTGACTCCCACAAGATACTGCATCTCCTGAGTGTCAAGGGCCTGGTAGGTCATAAGTGCTCGGAACATGGGAGGGATTCTAGCTGATGCTCAGGAAGCAGCTCTAAAATGAATCAATGAATGAACCTCTTTCCATCTAATTTCATTTCCAACACTTATTAACGAGTCCTATTCTGTGTACAGTCTAGCTGAGTTATTTGAAGTTTCTGTGAAATATAAAGCAAAACCCCACAAACAGTGTGAAAAAAACAAGACTTCAGTGAACAGAGCCTCCTCGCTCCTTCTACGGGAGGGTAACAGGATCCAGATTTCTGGAGGAGAGGCAGTGACCCCAACTCTGGGTGCCATGCCCCTCCCCCTTCCTCAGAGAAGGTTCCACATGGGAGGTTGCAGTCCCTCAGGAGAGGGGGTGGAAATGGTCAGAGGCTTTGGCTTCGTCAAGCCCTCTGGGGGTGTTGTGTGGAAGGGCCTCATGGGCTGCACAGGCATCCCAGCTATTTGATTTGGCAATGCTTAACGAGGTGGATCTGGAAGGAAGGGAGCTAACAGTGACGGAGCAGCCTGTAGGAGTTGGCCCTGGCATCTACGCAGGCAGCAGGGAGAGGCGGGGCCTCCTGTGCTCCCATATATCACATCCCCAGACTCCAGCCCGGTCCTAAGAGCAGGACCCCCAACTAAACAAAGAGAGGTTCTCCTCATCCAGCCCCACTTCCCCCCATGCAGGCTGTCCCGTCCTTTAAGAAAGGCTTGAGGGAGTAGGCAGGTGAGGCCTGGTTTGGGTGTTAACAACAGGTCTTGAACTTTTTTTTTAAAACAGCAAAAATTTTTTTTTTTTTTTTTTTTTTTTTGTGAGATCGGGCCTCTCTCTGTCACCCAGGCTGGAGTGCAGTGGCACAATCACAGCTCACTGCAGCCTCGACCTCCTGGGCTCAATTGATCCTCCTACCTTAGCCTCCTGAGTATCTGGGACCCCAGGTGTGCATCACCACATCCAGTTAATTTTTAAATTTTTGTAAAGAGTCTCTCCCTTTGTTGCCCATGCTGGTCCTAAACTCCTGGGCTCAAGTGATCCTCCTGCCTTAGCCTCCTAAAGGGTTGGGATTCCAGGTGTGAGCCACTGCTCCCAGCCCAAAACTCTTATTTCAAAGAGTGAAAACCTTTGAAAGAAACCTATCTGAGGCAGACAAAGTGGAGCTGTTCGGGGTTGGGGTTGTTGTTCACCTGCCCATTCCTCCTGACACCTCCAGAAACCCCAGGCTCCAGAGGACATGTGAGCTCCTACTTGGCACTGACCAACCCAGGCCTCTCGGAGAAACCCGCTTGTGCTGTCAGACAACCTTCACTCCCTGGGCAGCACCCAACTCAACTGCCTGAACTGGGACACCTCAGGCCCAGGACAACAAGAGCACTGCCAGCCATGGCCCTGATGCACCACGTGACCTGGGCAGGTCTTCTCCCTGGGGCCGCCGATCTACAACATGGTTTCCAGGGCCTATTCCAGCTCTAAGACTCAATTCACATCCACTTTGTGGAAAGATCTGTGCAGGGCTTGTGAGGGCCACAAAGACAGCTAAGGCAAGAACCTAGCCCTCCAAAACTCCCCAGCCCCGGCCCCAAACTGCAAAGCAAACCATATGTTCAATAACACACTCACACACACATATACCACAGGCTTACCAGATTCTGTGCAAAAAAAGCTTTGAGACTCAGAGAAAAAGGACTCTCATAAGCTCACAGAAACCCTGTTAAAGTAGAAACTGCTCAGATCATTCCCACAGTCATTCATAAAACATTCACTGTCATTTACCAGTGCCAGGCACGGCAGACGTCCAGACGAGCATGACAAGCTCCTGACCAGACAAGCTCATATCACTGTCTGGGCTGGAACTGAATCACACAAATGATATGCAAGGATCCTTCTCAGCTTTCTCATACATATGTTCATGCTCACTATTTTAAATATATTTGAATGAATAATTTAGGAAATCCTTATCATCTGTTACTCTGTGGCACATTTTAAAAAACATACAAATGTATAATACATAACATATGTAAATCTTTAAATTTAATTTTTAATTTTTAAAAAATAGGCTGGGTGCGGTGGCTCAAGCCTGAAATCCCAGCACTTTGGGAGGCCGAGGCGGGTGGATCATGAGGTCAAGAGATCGAGACCATCCTGGTCATCATGGTGAAACTCCGTCTCCACTAAAAATACAAAAAATTAGCTGGGCATGGTGGCGCGTGCCTGTAATCCCAGCTACTCAGGAGGCTGAGGCAGGAGAATTGCCTGAACCCAGGAGGCAGAGGTTGCGGTGAGCCGAGATCGTGCCATTGCACTCCAGCCTGGGTAACAACAGTGAAATTCCATCTCAAAAAAAATTGTTTTAAATAAATAGATAAATAAAAATAAAATAGAGATGAGGTCTCACTATGTTGCCCAGGTTGGTCTCAAACTCCTGGCCTCAAGGGATCCTCTCGCCTCAACCTCCCAAAGTAACGGTACTACATGCGTGAGCCACCGTGTCTAGCCAATATACATAAATTTTAAAGACAAAGTAAAACAAGCAGGTGAACTGGTACATGCCAGAGAAGAGGTATGTGGAAAGTCTGCTGGGGCTGAACACAGTGGTTTGCACCTGTAATCCAAGCATTTTGGGAGGACTGCTCGAAGCCAGGAGTTCAAGACTAGCCTGGCCAATATGGCTACTAACATCTCTACTTAAAACACAAAAATTAGCCAGGTGTGGTGGTGCACACCTGTAGTCCCAGCTACTTGAGACTCGCTTGAACCTGGGAGGTGGAGGCTGCAGTGAGCTGAGATTGTGCCTCTTTATTCCAGCCTGGATGAGAGAGAGAGAGAGAGACCTTGCCTCAAAAAAAAAAAGCAAAAACAAAAAGAGAGACTCTGTTGAGAGCACACACCCTGAAGGATCAGGCCTCCTCTCTGCTCCTACTTCAGGGGTGGGAGCTGGGTTAGCTCATCTCCAAGGTCATGTCCAGTTCTGACTCTTTGTGACAAGGACTCTGGAAATAGGCTCTGCTGGCTGGGAGGGCAAGGTGTGAGCAAGCCTCACCCTTCATCCTCCTCCCTCCTTTCAGACTTCCTACCTCACCCTCTCCACATATAGTGGCCTGCCCTGCTTCAGCCTCTGCTGCTGCAGGATGGAGAGGCGGCATACAAGTGTTAGGCCTCAGTTTCCTTCTGCAAAAATGGGGGTGACAGGGGAAGTGAGGGATTTCTGATCAATAATCCAGGTGCAAGAGTACAGGTGGCACACAGCCTCCAAGCTGTATGTACGTCGCCCTGCTCTCTAGCCAGCCTACCTGTGGTGCTAATGGGCTTGGCCTGGGAGCAGCCCCTGCCACCCCACCCCCAAGGTAACCCAACTCTTCATGGTCAAATGACAGCTGGAGGTGGGGCTGGGGAGCCCTAAGGCAGAAGAGGGTGATGATTACCAGGGTGCTTAGGCCCAAACAAAAGGGTCATGGCCCAGATTCATTTCAACACACAATTCCTGCATACCCACTGTGTTTAAGATCCTGTCTGGCACTCAAGGGGCTGAGAAAATGAGGGTGACATTCTAATTACCTTAAAGTGTGTCTCAAGGTTTTAAGAGCACCTCCTCAGAGAGGCCTGCCCTGCTGAACTAACTAAAGGGGGGTCCCCCAGTCCCTACCACACCCCTTGTTCTCCTAAGTCACATTTACTCCAACCCTGCCATTGTTTTCTCACTTCTCTGAATCTTTCAGGTTAGCTCTTCCAATGGAGGGCCC